CTCACCCCCATTATGTTTTTCAGGTAACAGGGTCGGGCCGGAGGTGTGAGCAAATAAAGTGGTGGTGATGGTCGAGTACTCATTTCAATGGACATTTGTAATAAATGAAATAAGTCTGTATAATTATTCACGTTTTTAAGTAATTCCGCTACGCTTATTAATATGTGAACTTGCATTTTAAATAAATTCAGATTTCAATTTTTTATCATTTCATAAATATGAACATGATATAGTTAAATGCAAGTATATATATAAATCTGTTTTGTTATGTCTAAAATAAATAATTAGACAAAGTTAAAGTTAAACAGATTTGTAGGAAGGAGGAGTTTAAGTAGCATCCCGAGTTATTCGCAAAAAGATTTCGAAAGAGTTATAAGTAATTTCGAAATAAAAGTTGCGAAAAATTTACTCTGATCAGCGGGGTGTTACATTAAGACTTTGCTTTGCAACGCCCTCGTCGACCTCTCTAGTTGGTCGATGAGCGAGAAAGGGAAGACGATGAGGTCCTCCAACTTGATCCCCTATATTTTGCACCACCACTTTCGCCGACCTCCCAAGCCGTCCCGTCCTCCAGCCGTCAACTTTCACCACCAACCTCCCCTCCGCAGGTTTATCCTACTTTCACTCGCCTTGATGGCACCAGGTCGGTTTGCGAATACCTTAATATCGCCGATTTTCCTAATGCTGAACCTTCTTTTCCCTGAGTGCCTCCGAAACCTACAACAAACCTCCCAATAGATATTACACTTTTTTTCAAAGACACGTCAAACTAGGCCTCCGCTTTCCCATTTGTCCAGCCCTTCTCGACCTCTTTGGCATCTTTTGCCACCTGACTACCTTTATCATTCTTTTCATTTGTTCGTCTTGGTCGAATTGACCTCAATTTTTTTTTTATTCTTTTATTGCTAATGGCCAAAAGGGAGGACTCTACCTTCAGAGTCGAAATAAAGCCCACTTTCTATCCAATATCCCTTCCAATGTCCCCAAATAGAAGGGGAAATTCATTTTGTTCGACCTGATATTCCTTCCCATGGGTCTCGACCCCTTGGCTCGAGGCCCTACCTTATGAGACCCAAAATCCTCCCCGCAATCCTTTATTCGACTGACGCTTCGCCTCTTAGAATGCAAACCTAGTCGCCTCCGAGACCTTCCTTTCTGAAAAAGGATCTTGTTCCTTTGCGGACTTCTTACCCTCCGACCTCAATCTCCTTGGCTGAGCACAAGCTCGGAGCCCTTCATATCGAAGAGGATGATGAGCTTGGTAAGCTCGACCTGTTGACTCTTGCCAATTACTTAAATAATGTCTCGGTCCACTAACGTAAACATTATTGAACTCCCTTATCATCCCCGCAATTAAATTCGAGACTCCAATAATAATTATTCGAATTACATTCCAATGTTTAAGATATAATGTCTATTATTTAATTCAATTACTGATAAATAAGAATTAGTTAATATCTTATAAATCGAAGCTAGTACCACTCATTACATTATTACTATGTCGGAACTTAATCCACTTGCAAGGTTTAACATAATAATCCTTTATTTATGAGCTCACTTCGGGGGTATCAAACTAATGCACACGGTGACTGTAAATATTCTAACAGCACGTCATACATACAACACTATTACCCAAAACATCAAGAATATTGATCCAATAGGATGAACCTCACTTTTAGTGAATCAAAGTAATAGCTATTGCATGCACATGTCTGTTTATATCTTATGGGTTAAGAGAATGTAGTAATTAATCGAGGCATAGTTCATTTACGACGATCAGTATAAAATGAACTGCTCCTCGCTGAGATCTTGTTCAATAAATGAATGTACTAGTGCAACTAATCAGTCAAGATCAACTGTAAGGTCGACACTACAACCATTCCTATGGTTTGTTCATTTCCATCTAGGTTGTGAACCACTCATTTTTGTTCCGCAAGTGACTGATAAAATGATCTTTTATCCATCCGTGATGAACCAATTTATCTATGTGCTAAACAACATAACATAGAACTTGTATAATCAAACATGATTCGCATTCAACCTAAAGTGTACATTCGAAGAAAAACTTTCAGTATATACACCAACATGCTTGGCATTATACCAGGTTGTTCATCACTTTCATTTTCCAACTATTGTTTCTCAAAATTGTTTTTATATTGATTTTCAAGTGTAGGACACAATTCAGTAAAAAACATATATCATTGTTTGAGGAGTCTCTAAAATCAAATCTTTTCCATTTGTTATTGTGGTCGAAATCAGTTGAAAAAAATAAATTATTTGAGCTATAGTATATGAATCTTCATTATGATTCTCCCCCTGAAGCTAAATGTCCTTAAAATATGGTTTTTTTTTTCCAAAAAATATTACATCCATTGACACAAAAGTTTTTTTTCGAAATTGAGTCAAATTTATAGCCTTTTTGAGTTGGGAGTAACCAATGAAAATGCATTTAATGGCTTTGAGTTCAATTTTTTTCAAATTTTCTACGATCATGAACTAAGATGTACAATCAAATAATTTTACCGGTAAATGATTTGGAAGTCTAGCGGTTGAAAAACACTGTCAAATTGTCAAAAAGAGTTCAAAATTGTAAAACTTTAGAATGCATTCTGAAAGAGTTATATTTTTGGCAATGAAGTTCAAAAATTAATATAAGTGAAGATATATTCTTGCAAGCATAAGAAATAAAAAGGGAAGTTCTTTTATTTATATTTATATTTATATATTCGAATTTATTTATATTTATATTTATATATTCGATTTATATACATATATATTAGATTTGCATGATCTTATTATGGATATATTTTGTAGGAAATCATATAAGAAGGAAAGATCTTTGGAAAGAGAAGATAGAGATCTACACCTACCATATCCCTTATGATTTACATGGAAGGAAATTGGATTAAAGAAGGATTGTTTGAAGTGAGAGAAAGAAGAGTCCTAAACTTGGAAGGAAATCAAAAAGGAGTCTTGTACTTGGAGAACACTCCACCCTAAGGAGATTGTATATATACCTGCTTGAAGATCGAATTTGGAGAGCTGAGAGCATTATCTTCTATTCCATATTCGAGCTGCAAGCTTTTTGTGTTTTATTTTCGTTGTTCAGTTTTCGGTTCTTACGTCATCGAAGAACTGAAGTCTTTTCTTTTGATTCTTTTGTTTTTCATTCAAACACTTGTGTGATCAGTGCTTAGGGATTAAGTACTGTCTTTAGCTCGAGGGATTCGAGAGGTAAAATCCACGGGACGTGGTCGGAGAAGTAGTTGATAGAATCGTGTGTAGTTGTTGGCTAGGCTAGAAGGGAGTTCGAGTCCTGTAAGTCCAAACTATACAAGTGTGCACAAACGGTTTATCAATGAAAGAGCTCTGAGGGGAAGTGGGACGCTTCCCTGAAGAGTTTTTAAATCTTCAGTTTATTGCTTCCGCTATTCTAGTTGTTTATTTGTGTTCTAACAACGTTGAGCGCACTCGGGACAAAATACCTACATTTCAATTGGCACCAGAGCAGTGTTCCTGTTCTACTTACAGGATAAAGATCTTTGGGTCCTTGGGTTGGTCACCATGATTCACGATGGCATGTCCGTTTCGCGCCCTCCGTACCTTGACGGTTCTACCTATGGATACTGGAAATCCATGATGGTGATATTTATTCGCTCTTTGGGTAAAGGAACCTGGCAAGTCATTGAGTCAGGCTGGACCACACCACTCATGCCGAAAGCTCCCTTAGAATCAAAGTCATCAACCTCGACTGCTCATGTTCTAGTCGAGAAACCAAGGGATCTTTGGACTGATGTTGAAAGACAAGCAGAAGAAGCAAACTTTCGTGCATTATATACTATCATGTCTGCTGTGGATCCAACTCGCCATAAGATGATCATCCAGTGCACCACAGCACGTGATGCATGGAAAATTCTCGAGAGGCAATTTGAGGGTACCAACGCCGTGAAGTCTTCCAAGCTCCAAATGATTACCACGGAGTTCGACACTATTCGCATGAAGGATGATGAAAATATTGATAGGTACTATGCACGCTTTTGTGATCTCGTTAACCAAAGTGCCATGCTTGGTGAGGAAATTTCTGAGGCGAGGCAAGTGCAAAAGATCATGAGAACCCTTGCCAAACGATTCCGTGAAAAGATCACCGCACTTGAGAGCTTTCAGCGAGTCGAGCCTCTTGGTCTCGATGACTTACTTGGAGAACTTCGAACCTTTGAAATCAATCGTGGTTATGATAAGATGGGAATAAGCAAAGGCTTAGCCGTGAAAGCCAATGTTCCAACACAGGCTGAAGACGAAGAGGATTCTGATGATGAGTCTCTTGATGTTGAAAGTATTGCTAAGGCTTTGGATGTTCTTACACGCCACTTCTCTCAGTTAAAGAAGAAAAAGGAGTTCCAAGGGAAGAAGCCTACTGACTTCAGTAAGAACATCAATCAGCAGTCTGGTGAACGACTTTTCAACTCACATTATCAGAAGACTCAGAATCAGAACGTAGAGAAGAACCAATGCCGTGAATGCAAGGGATTTGGACACTTCCAGAAAGACTGTCCGAATTTCATGAGGAAGAACAAAACCTATCGAGCCACGTGGGATGATGATGAAGACGATGATGACCAGCAACACACGAACAAATTTGCCGTCACTTCTCTCAATAACTTCACGTGTTATACAGCCTCTCATAAGCCTTGTGATGCCGATTCAGGTATGTGTTCTTACACGTATAATTCTCATAGTGATTTTGATGATTTTGGAGATGGTTCTGTTGAAGTAGATTTGGCTACCCATAAGCTTGCATTAGAGACGAGCATCAAAGCTAGAAAAATGATGAAAAAGCTACAAGCTCAAGTCGAGGTGTTCCAACATCGTTCTGCAGAGCATGAGAAGGAGATCACTTACTTGAAGGATGAACTTCAGAAAACTCGCATGATGAATGACGAACTGAATGATAAGCTGACCAGATCTGATGTTCATACCAGCAAGGAGGAACATAAGCTGGACGAATTTGTTGCCAAAATCACGATGTTAGAACATGAACAGAAGTTGTCCAAGCAGGTATGTGATGAAAAGGTTTTTATCATTGAGTCTCTACGTAATGAAATGTTTGTCTTGCAGAAAACTATAGATGAAAGGGAAACCGAGATTGTTGCACTCAAAAGAGAACTCGGTCGAGTGATGGAAGAACATGTAACGCTCAAGTGTTATTGTTCTGCAATGGAAGAGAAACTCAGCAAGAGTGAGGAGATTGTTAAGATGATCAACAAGCCCAAGTCCTCATTTGCTGAAGTTCAGAGGCCGAGTCAACAAATTGGTACCTCAGACCATAGTAAGAACGCTCCTAATCAGAAACTGAAAGGTAAAGTTGGCGAGCCGAGCACATCTCTGAGTAAGTCTGACCTGACTTTTGTCAAAGAAGGCTACAACCTTGAAGGTAAGAATGGTAAGCCTAATTCTACCAAAACTCAGCATAAGAACTCTGGTAAGAATTTTGTGCCTGTTTGTCACTATTGTGGTATCCGTGGTCATATTCGCCCTAAGTGTTATAGGATGCATAATGATATTTATACTGGTCGAATTGATGAATGGAGTCCACATGGTGTACCCTTGAAAGCACCTAAACTAAAGGTTGATGTGGCTAATCATGAACAGAAAAAGATTTGGGTTCCTAAAGGCAGTAAGAACGTGTGCTTATCTTCTATACTTGCATTGAAATCCACCTCTAATTCTGATTGGTATTTTGACAGTGGTTGTTCTCGTCATATGACAGGTCTAAAATCTAACTTGATTAATATTTTGCCTGTTCCTTCTAGTTCTGTGACCTTTGGTGATGGTGTTATGAATAGAGTTCTCGGTATAGGATGTTTGAATGTTCCTGGATTGCCGAAACTTCAAAATGTTCTTCTTGTTGAAAATTTGAAAGCGAATTTGCTGAGTGTGAGTCAATTATGTGATCAAGACTTTTCTGTGAGTTTCACCTTGAATGAATGTTTGGTTTCAGATAGGAATAATAATTGTGTTCTTACAGGGTCTAGATCGCATGATAATTGCTATTTGATTGATTATATGACTTTTGACTCATGTGATACGAGTTCTGGTATTATTAGAGATTGTGATGCTGACATGAATGAGAATGT